GACGCCCGCAGGAAAAAGGGTCACAGACTCTCATGCGCAACGTTTCAGCAACGGTGAGTTAGCTCCGAGTTTTGTCGCATTACGCTTGGAGCCATCATAAAAGCCATCTTCCTCGGTCAACTGTGACCGATCGATTGTCATCGACGTGCAAGCCAAAGCGCATACGCGTGCCACGGGCCTGCCCACCGGGCAGCTCCCAGTGCGCACGAGCCAGACCACCGGCGAGGCCGCACCGACACGGACCCGCCCAATTTCCCCCCGCGCCAGGAGGGACAAGAAGTAACAACCCACGAATGCCGCCGCATGCATTTGCACGCACACGTCATGATGCCCTGCAGAACGCGATCGCGTCTCGAAAAGACTATGGTAGTTGTTTAAATATTCATTAACAAAACGCGGACTGAAATCCTGCAATCCAAGATGCAGACAAAAATCCTCACCCCTCTTGGGCTTGGAAATAAAAACCATAAATTCCTCCCCGCAGATCTTGTTGTACCTCCACAAAACAACTGCGATTGCGCGAACTTCAATAGCAATCGGCAGGCCGCTGTCACCTTTCTCATGCGCCACGAGCCGCCTTCGCACATCGTCTAGGTCCCGATGCAAAGATAAACGAGCTTTAACGTGTCGCGGTGGATCCTGGACCCATGCGCGCTGTTGTTTCCGCACACGGCTTCCAAAGCGAGGCCCGACCCACCTTTCGTGCCGAGGGACTCGCCGCGACAAGAATTCGTTACACCCGCAAAGCTTGGACGTCCAACGACGCATGCAAGCATCGACGACGGCAAATCGATCGCGCTCTTCCCGCGAGATCCCAAACGGAGTCTTTGACTTGTCGAAATCGAGGCCCATTACAGTTTCAGCGGTCACCGCCAGAGTGTTGCTATTGTCCCAACTCGAAGAATGGGAGGGGAGGGGGCGCACGGAGGGACGGACGGACACGCACGCAACGGCCACATGCCCACCCCCCACGAACGCTGACACGATAACTCCACAGCTCCCCCGACCTGCCCGACCCACTACCACCCCCGCACCACGAAAGAAAACAAGAAAACAACTCCACGCCCAAAGTGAGCGAACTCAGCCTGTCGCGACACCAAACCGAGCACACCAAGAACCCCCCCCAAAAAAAAAAATTAGCGCATCTTACAACAACATTCTACCGAAAACGACCCCGAAACCGTCGGCGTGTCGCGGGGTTTTGCCCCGCAGTTTGCGCCCTACAGGTAAATTACCAATTTTCCCGCCCCCCCCCCCCCCCCCTAATCTTCTACTACCATCATGCTAGTACTGTACCTACCCTAGTTAGTAGAGAGATAGAGAGTTTTGTATCTCCCTAGTGGCTCGCTGGTACAGAGCCACCCAACTTCCTTCCCCTCTTTAATACTTTCTAACCCTGTTATAGTTGCTTCCCGCACTGTAATAGACGGAGAATCCTCCTGGACCTAGTGAGGCAGATCCTCTGCCCGTTTATTTCTGGCCGCCGGCCGTAGTTTGTCATACAGGTCCTCTCGGGGGGGCGCGCACGCGTCTCGACCTGCGCTGTGGTGCTCTGTCTTTGTTGTTTCGCTTACGGGGATGCTGCGGCATGCGAGAATGTCCGGCCCGGGTCGGCAGAGGAAGGGGAACTCCAACACAAGCCCCCCCAACGGCCCGTGCCAGCGGGCACGGGCCGCTCAGGCTGCGGCGGGCTGCGAGGGTCTTGCGCCAAGCCTGAGCCGACCGACGAGTCGCGCAGCATGGTTACCGTGGGCTTGGCGTCCTTCGGTATCCAGTCGTCGAAGGTCTGGTCGCGGCCGTCGCGCAAGACGGCCGTGGCAGCGTCCAGGCGCGCCGCGCGCTTCGCAGCCGCATCCTTGCGCGCCATGCAGGCTCCATGCTCAAATCGAGGAGTTCGAGGGCTGCCCAAAGATCGACGCCGTTAGCCGGTTAGCATGACGCGTTTCGGCAGCTTGTTAGCCGGTGCCGTGCGCGACGGTTTCGCCAAGGACGTGGACGACGTGAATTCGGTAGATTACGGTGGTTGCAAATCAGAAGTACCGGAGGCGGACACGACGTCGATTACGGCCATCATCGACCAGCAGCGGGAGGAGGGCGACGCCAAGGCGGCAATGACCCTCGCACGGGAGTACACGATGGAATTCGTGGACGAAGAACATGCCGCCGCGAAGCGCGAGGAAGAAGACCTCGCGTACGCGGAGCGCCTCGACATCGAGCTCAAGGACGAATTGGTAGCTGAGTTTTTGGCAGCGTCCATCAACACCAATCTAATTTGGACGAAGGATTCACGCAGAGAGACATCGACCAATTGCTCTTGATAGGCGCAAGCAGCACGAGTTCGAGGCGGAAAGGCGGCACATTGAGTACCTCGAGCGAGATGGAATCGAGAGGGACGCGCGCTACGCTGAGTGCGAGGCGAAGCTAGAGCAAGAAGAAGCCGATGCCAAGGTCGCCGAGCGCCGCGACCGCGAGCTCAAGGACGGCGACTGTGCCAAGGCGGCGCAGCTCGAGCTCGACGGAGCGGAGGCCTTCGAGCGGGGCCTGGCGGAGGCCAAGGGCCTGGAGGAGGCGAAAAGGCTCGAAGCGCGGATCGCGCGGTCGAATTTCGCGGCGCGCAAGCGCCGCGACGCGCTCGCGAGCGACGAGGATCTGAACGTGGGCCAGTGCTGGCGCGACGCCATGAAGCGCGTCGACCTCGAGGACGTCGGCGACGCCGTGGCGCTGTCCGTCCAGCTCCCGTCCCTCGCGGACGTCAAGGTCGAGGCGTCCGGCAAGGTCGTCAAGGTCGTCGCGACGCGCGCGTCCGCGGCCCTCCGCGCGTCGAACTGGGCGTCCAAGGACGCGGGGCCCAAGACCATCACGCTCAAGTTCGAGCTGGTCTGCCCCAAGTCCGCCTCCGACGTCTCCTACGACTACGACTGCGAGGCCGGGCTGTTGCACCTCTTTCTGGACGGTATCCAGCTCGCGTCTCTGGACGAGGCGACGCGGGCGAAGACGCTCACGAGCCTCCGCGCGCGCCTCGCTCAGTCCGCGGCGGCGAAGGTCGCCAGCTTCAAGAAGGCGTTTGCCGGCGGCCCCGCAGGTGACGCCGCGCCGGACCTGTCCCTCGTCGGCCTCGGCATCACGCCCAAGGCCATCTAGGCCGTGTCTCCCCCCCCCTTTTATACTCCTTAAGCGCGCTGACCTCCATGCGGAGATCGGCAGAGTGGCAGAGTTGGCGGGGCTGCGTGATGGTAGGGAAGCCGAAGTGGAAGCCGCCTACCAGTGAGACCGGCCATCCCCGCTACCCCGAAATAACTCCTCCTCTCAGAGGCCCTATCGCCCGACCTCGACTAACTTCGCCGGGCCGGTGCGGGCGCGCGCGACGTGCTGCTCTACGTGCAAACATTCAGTGAAGCCCCTCGCTCCAGGGTGTGGACCCCTACTCCCCCCTAGAGGCCATGGTGCTGACGGCATACGAAGTCGGATCCGTCGTGGACGAGCATGAGGGGCTTCCTCGCCTCGTGCTCGTGTTGGAAACCGAGGGCGTGCTGGACGTAGCGGATACCGTGGAGCTTGCGATCGCAGTGGATGCGGGTCCGGCCGAAGATGTGGACGGCGGGGAGCGGTTTCACGGAGCGAAGCTGAACGTCAATCTGCTCGTTTCCGACGGATTTCAGGACGTCCCTTTCGTGTTTGGCGTACGGGAGCTCGACGCGAGGCAAGAAGTGGGAGAACGAGACAACTGTCCCGTCGTACTTCAGGTCGAGGCGGCGCCGATTCCAGCGTTCAAAGATTATGGGGACGTCGGCGTCGTTGACCGGCCAGCGACAGAGCGCGTCGGGCTTGACGTCTCCAGGCCAGGGATCGTTGACGTCAAACTTGGAATCGTACCAAGAGAACAGAGGGAGGACAAATAGACCGCAACAGACCTCCGCGGGCGCCGTGTCGACCTGCGGGCGCGCGAGAGTCGGATGGGCTCAAGGCTCCGGACGAAGCTCCGTAGGCGCGTAGGCGCCCACATAGGCTCGTCGAGGGCGGTGTATACGTAGGGTCCAGAGGTTTTGAGCCAAAGCCGCCTCGTGGTCGCTTCCGTAGGCCCCTGCAGGCGACACTGGTGCCGGCATCGAGTTCATCGCAGAGTTCGAGTAGCGTGTTGAACTTCGCGATGCTGTCGGGTTGATCATCGGGCTCGTTGGAAGTCTCTGTCTTGGGATGGATCCAGAGGTCACGGTTCCCCGGGACGAAGAAGACGCGGCGGAATTTTCCCCGGAGTCTCTCGAGGCCGACTCGGGCGGCGCGAAGAGATTCTCCAATGTTGCCTGCGATGATGAGGACGTCGCGCTGGTAGTCGAAGCTACTGAGGCCGTTGACCCAGTCCATGTTCGCGCCGTGGTCGCAATGGACGTCACTTACGGAAAAGACGCGCGTGCTCGAGAGGCCCGCGTCGCGTGTGAAGCGCGTCGCATCGCGTGCCGCGGCATCAGGCGAGCGTTCGTCTCGTGCGAGCGTCCCGAGGACCTCAGCGCAGCCCTTGCGCGCGTCCGAGGACGTGTTGTCAACGTAGGCGCCGCGCGCATGGTACCAGTATGCGTGTGCGTGACGCCGGAGGCCGGTCAGGGCCGTGGCCGCACGGCCATAGCCGCGTGCCCACGACGGCGCGATCTTGATAGCTCGCTTCGCGTCGACGAGGGCCGCGCGGTAGCAGCGGAGTCGCAGGAGGCACGCGGCGCGATTCGCGGCAAGACGTTCGTCGCATGAACCAAGGCGCACCAGGCAGGCGCTATAGAGAGCCACCGCGGCACCTGCGCGGGACGTTCGAGCTGAGTTCGGCCGATCCCAATGCGCAAGAGGGCGAGCACGATACATGTAAGAGCAGCGGAAGAGCGCGCGGGCGCGGCGGCGACGCCGAACCCTCACCGTCCTCGCCGCACCGGAAGTGGTCGTCGGCCATGGCCTTGACGTCGGCTTTGGCCGCGAGGACCGACGCTTCGCTCGAGCTGTCGATGGCGTCGAAAACGTCGCGTGCGGTGTCGAAGCCGAGCTCACTGAGCCGCGCAAGGGCTGCTTCGGAGGCTGCCGCGTCCTCGGCGGCGTCCGCGGCCTAGAGATGCGAATGGCTCACGCCGCCGGCATTTTGCAGCGGCACTGCGATCTTGAATGGCGTGCAGACGCCCGGATCGCACCTGGAGGCCGTGGACGAGGGCGCATGTCGCTTCGCGAGGCCGCTGGAGGCCGCGGAGCGCCGCGGCACGCCGCAGGTGGCCCCTGGCCCACCGCACGTTCGTAGAAGTCGCGGCGTCGCCGTCGGCAAGCGCCGCGTGAAGCCGGCCGAGTTTGAGGTACCTAGAATCCGGGCATGTCTCCGATGCCCGAGGAGGCGCGGCGTGTTCAGCAACCCGAGTCGAGTCTATCGCATTGGCGCGAGGCGCGGCGTCGCACGCTGCGGCTCGGTTCGCGAGCGTCTTCTCAAAGACGGGGTTGTCGCCGTCGGCCTCGCGGCCTCGAGGCGCCGCCCGGTATTGGAGGACCAGAGTGTAGGCGGCACTCGCGCCGACGAGGTCACCGCGCTGGAAGTGCGCGTCGCCACGTGCCTTGGTCGCGGCGGGGCCACCGCCGCTCGCCACGTCCTCGGCGGCCGCGGTGTCGCGAGAAGCTATGGCGACGGCCGCCGCGCGCTCTAGGTCAGTTCGTGTGGCATCGTCGGCCGCAAGGAGCGCGGCGGCGGCTGCGTCCTCGGCGGCGGCGGCGAAGTCGAGACGCGCCTCGTTGCAGAGGCTTCGGATCTCAAAAGCCTCGGCGCTCCCAGGCCGCAGCTCAGAAGCGTGGGCCGCGTCTTCGTACGAGTCGAGGGCCAGAGCCAGCGCCGCGGTGGAAACCTTACTCTTGTCATGTGAGTGACTGTCAGCTTCTTGACACGACTCGGGCTGTGCCAAGAGCAAGTCCCGGCGCTTGCCTAGTCGGCCGCGCGCCCGCGCTAAAAGCAACTTGCATCGCTTGTCTGAGTCGCGCGATGGAACGCCGTCCAACGCGTCGCTCAACTGACTGATCGCCGAGCCCCATTCTTTCGCCTCGAGGCTCGCCAGTCCCCTTGCCTCGAAGGATAGTGCCCGTGGTGGCGGCGGCGGGGGGGGGGGGTCGCAGCCCGCCATTGGAGAATTTCAGATTCTTCTGTCCGGGGCTTCAAACAAAAAATATATCCGAAAAGCGGCGCCGAGTTATCGAAACTCGCGCTCGTTGTATAAAATCTAAGTCCCGTACATCAACTTGACGTTAAGGTACAGTCCGTAGTAGCAGGATAAGCACAGTGGGCGAGAGGGGAAGCTCAGTGTGCTACCTTACGGTAGCTCAGTCATAAGATAGTAACTGATTATAAAGAAGGGGAACGGGAAGGAGAGCCTAACTAGGGTAGGTATAGTACTAGCATGATGGTAGTAGGGTAGTGGTAGTGTAGCGTACTGTACTACAGTATAGTCATGGAGATATAGAGATAGAGAGAGAGAGACAGACATCAAGATTCTTTGCACTCCCCCATCATGTCGCTGAAGAGTGCACATGGATACCTGGCAGTAGCAGAGCGGTTTCGAAGTTTCGAAGTAGAATGGTTTCGGACGTCGTGGCACTTAAGTTCCACTCTTCCCACTTCATTCCGTTGATTGTCTCCAACACACTTCCGCACGCGGCCCTCGGCCGCCGCCGCCAGCGGCCGCGCCCAGGACGCTTGCCGAAGCACGTTAAAGACGACGTCGTCCACGCCGAATTGGCGTCGATCCTCAGTGTCGCCGTAGAACGGGGCAAGCATAAAATCATTCGAAGAGATTCCGTCGATAGCTCGACGAACAGGAACCCAGCCGTCAACTGTTTTGGCTTCGGTCAATACAACTTAGGCCGGAAGTTAAATAAAAATAACTTGAAGCAATTAATTTGTTTGAGGAGTTAAATGACGATTTCGTAGCAAATCGTGAAAGATTTACCAAAACTCTCTCTCTCCAGCCAGCAAATCGAGCGGATTTGCCCGCCGCCCGAGCACGAAAGACAAATTGTCTTACGCGCGTTGGTCGCCCGCGCACCACGCCCGTGTCAGCCCGGAGGCTCGTAGGGGCGCATCTGGTGACCCCAGACGACATCGCTTGCCCGAAGGGCCTCCTGGGACCAGCCGAGAGTGGGATGACGCCTCGTGAGGCCCGCCGCGCCGGCGGCGTCGGGCCGAAGCCGGCGCCGGTCGTCTCAGCGCCGCCGAGAGGTGGTCCCAACCGACTGGGAAGGTCTCCATCCGCTGCCGTGGTGGCGCGAGATCGGCGCGACACTCGCCGTGCGGTGGCACCGGCGCTAAATGCCCACGGCCACCGTCGGGACGAAACGCCGCCGGCAGCTCGTCCCGGTGGACTCGGCGATTTCGGGCTCCCCCGAGGAAGCCGCCGCGCTGGACGCGACGGGGTCGATGACGAACGATCTCCGCTGCTGCGATGGCTCGAAAACCATCTTAGAGGGGTCGCGAGGGGGCAGCGCGTCCCTTCCTACCCACTCTACCTCCCCGTTCCAGTCGCCACGCGGTCGTATGAGCGTCGCGTCTTCGCATGTGCCTCACCCTCGTCCATGCGGACCTCGAAGTCACTGGGATCGTTGCACAGTTCCGCGTTCCGGCGGCGCTGCAGGGCCATGAGCACCGCTCAAATGATCATACTCGCGCGAGCGCGCGCTTCGGACGTTGCATATCCAAACATGGCTTCACCTGCAGGAATCTAACTCTTGGACTCGGACAATTGGTTTGCCGGGAGCAAACGATTAAAAAAATCTAACTTCCGGCCTTATTAGTCTCGCCACTCGACGAAATCGCTGTCTGCCTTCGACTCAAAGCCGTGGCCGAAAGTAGCCGCCCACCGAGCGTCCGCCTCGGCGACCTCTGGACGCCGAAGAAGGCGCGGTACCGCGATCTTCGGAGGCTCAAAATTTGCCTTCACGCGTGTCGATCTGCGCTCGGGCACCCTCACCCCCGACCGCGCGCCGCGCTTCCACGAGGTCCCGCCGCCGACACCGTCGCGCTCCCGGCTCCCGGCCCGCGTCACCCCGACCGCGCGGTCCCGCAGGACCCGGGCTATGCGTCGCCTCGGTGCGCGCTCTCTACGATCGTATGTCACATCCGCCCCCGTAAGGCATGCGCCGCGCGTGTGTATCATCGGGTCCGGTCCTGGCGGGTTTTACAGTGCCAAATTCCTGATGAAAGCGCGGCCGGATGTGGAGGTGGTGATGGTGGACCGATGGCCGACGCCGTTCGGACTGGTGCGATCCGGCGTCGCGCCAGATCACCCGGAGGTGAAGAGCGTCGCCCGAGACTTTGAATCGGTGGCATCGTCGCCGAAGTTCTCTTTCGTGGGAAACTTGGTCGTCGGCTCCAACGCGGACGTCTCAGAGGGCGGCTTCGGGCCTCGGCAGGCGTTGGGAGGACCGCACGTTGTGTCGCTCGCCACTCTACGCGCGTCCTTTGACAGCGTCGTCGTCGCGTGCGGGGCACGCGGCGAAGCAGCGCTCGAGCTGCCCGGGACGGGCCTCGATGGTGTCCTGTCTGCGCGCTCATTCGTCGGCTGGTACAACAGTGAGCCAACGTTCGCGCGGCTCAATCCTATCGGTCGCGACGCTGGCGCGGCCAGTGGCGACGACGCGCGTGTCTGGCGCGCGGTCGTCATCGGCCAGGGCAACGCAGGGCACCGGCGTCTGTCGCGCGTCGTAACGGGGCGAACGCGTCGTCCCCACGCGTCGCGGAGGTGTCGCGCCCTCAACGCCGCGCGTGCTGCTCCGGTAGGTCGCGCTGGACTGCGCTAGGATCCTCGCACGGACACCTGCGTGGCTTTTCTGATCTCCCCCCCGCGAATTCGCTTTGCCCTTCGCCTGTCGGCCGAGCAAAGCCGACGGAGACCCGGGGCGACCGTCGCGATTTCTGGGGGGCGGGTGGCTTCGCTGCGAGACGGGGGCGACACATGATCACTCGTGGCGTACCAGGGCCACACCGGCGTATCCCCTTTGAGAGGGCGGCGATCGGGCCCGCGGCCGAGGCGCGGTCGTGATGCGACCACGCCCACCAGCACCAGCGCCCACCAGCGTTTCACAAGTGTCACGACACGCAGGCTGCACAACCGTGCGACCTCGAGGCCACGGACGTGAACCGCGCCGCACTCGCCGCGCTCGTCGGCCTTCCGGCGGCTCGCGCTGTGAGCGTGGTGGGTCGCCGCGGCGCGATGCAGGCGGCTTTTACCATAAAGGAGCTGCGCGAGCTCGGCGCCCGCGATGGTGCGCGGCTCACAGTCGACCGTGACGAGCTTGCCGCGAGCGACACGGCGGCGAGCATCGAAGAGTGCGCCGCATCGCGGCCGCTCCGACGCAAGCGCGACCTTCTCGGCGACTGCGCGGCGGCCCAGGGTGGCGGTGGCGACGATGACGTCGGCTGCTTTGAATCTGTCGTCTCGCTCCGGTTCCTCCGCGCTCCCGTCGCCTTCCTGCCGTGCGACGACGACGCCACGGCCCTCGGCGCGGTCGTCCTTGAGATCCAGCGCCTCGAGGGACCCACGGGGCGCCAGGTTGCGACCCCGCTCGGCGTCTACGAGACGATCCCCGCCGATCTTGCGCTCCTTGCCGTCGGTTACGCGGCCGCACTCCCGAACCTCGACGCCGGCGCGCGCGCGACGCCCGGGCCGGGCCCAGGCGGCGCCTACGACCACGTGGCCGGCCGCGTCATGGGCCAGCCGGGCCTCTACTGCGTTGGCTGGGCTAAGCGGGGCCCGAGCGGCGTCGTCGCAACGAACGCGCCCGATAGTGTCGTCATCCAAAGTCGGGAATTTCTCACCCTTTTTTGGCTACAGGTGCCCGACGCCCGCGAGACGATCGCCTCTCTGGTTGCCGATCTCGCAACGTCCCACGCGACAGAGCTCCCCCCCACCCCTTTCCCCGATTCGACGACGACCTGGGCGGATTGGCGCGCCATCGACAAGAAAGAGACGGCCGATGGAGCAGCCGGCGATCCTCCTGCATCGCGCATCAAGCTAGGAAATGTTGATGACATGCTTAAAGAACTAATATAGTTCTTTTTTAGAGCGAACTGGCTCTGTTTAGGTGGCATATCGCAGCTCGTTTTTCAACTGACTCAGTGCGCGCGCGGCAGGTGAGCAGCGCACGGCCGCGTAGCGGCCGTACCACGTACGTTGGTGAAGGGTCTGTTTTCGGAGCCCCGGAGGGGCGACGACTCCTGCGGGCGCGTCTCCCAGGCGCGTCCGCAGGAGCTTTTTCCGACCGCGTGGGGCTCCTAGATGCCATTTTCCAGTAGAGAATAGAATCTGCTTCGCACTCTTGTCAGTATAAACCTCATCATTGGGGTGCTGTGTCCAGCTGGACTTTGGCGAATCATCCTATCGGACCGTCGTGAATAGTGAGCTCTTCGCAGGCGCGAAATGCGAGAAGACACCTCGCTGCGGCGGTAAGGCGCTGGGCCCATCGATTGGGATATACTCCCGACGCATAAACCCTGACACAGGCTGGACGCTCGCCGGCTCCGTGTGCTACCTCAAGACCTGCGACAAGTTCGCGACGGCCGCGCGCATGCTGGGCCAGAATCTGCAAGCCGACTTCAATGTGAGTGCACGGCCGGTTTCGACAGTGCTTTTCGATCTTCGTCGAAGTCTCGATGAGGGAAGATCAGTCTTCCGAAAAAGTAGCCAAGGCGACTACGATGTGGCCGAGTTCGAGCGGGTTCGAGTCAGGCAGTGCCCAGCTCACTGGCTGTTTTGCGAATAGGCCCGGATGCCCGGTGCGGTTTCGGGCGCGCGCAAGGCCTAGCCGGGGTTCGATGCAACGAAAAAAGTACCCCGTTTCTTGGTCGTTTTGGCCGAATGTAAGTCGCAAGTAACCCCGGGCCATTGAACAGCTTGCTACCATTCTTAAAGTCGTGATAACCAAGGCTAAAACGCCTGGCGATGATCCGGCGCCTGGAGGTGTTGCCGGGCCACTTATTCCCGGGTGCCAGTGCGATTCAAATCCTCGTCGCCGAGTATTCGCTCTAAGTACCCGCTACAGTGGATACAAGTGGCAGAGAGAGATGCTCATAAACCAGGTTAATTTGGATACCAGCGATGGGGAGAGATGCTCATGTTAGAATCCGAGTATGCTAGTATGAGGCCGCACCGCCTCGCGCGCGTCCACGTCGCCGGCCGGCGAGGTGGGGGCTTCACGACGGTCCGTGCCGCCGAGTTCGCACTAGAGTGGGGCGGGTGGGTTTGGTTAGGTCTCCAGTCCCGCCCAACGGATGTTACAATACAGCGTACATTCACTTGGCTGGGTGAAGTCGCACCTCCTTCCGCACGGCGCTTACCCGCAGTATTAATTACGCATTTTGTTGTCTCGGACGCAGTGGGAAACTGGTTCCAGCGCGCGCATGTAGAGATAGAGAGATAGAGATTTTTCTACGTTTATATTCAGTGAACTGCACCTTGATGTTGCAGTGCACTTTACCCCACTGCGCTCCTACTGCGTATCCTGCTAGTTTCCCCTTCCCTTCCTTAGTTCATTCTAATCCAGTTTAAAGTCTTATAGACAGCGAACTGAAGGAGTGACTGCCAAGCAGGCACAGAGAGCATAGCGCTTTTCTGTGTCTGTGGTGTCTGTCTGGTTTCACAACGTGGCTGATATGTGTAACAAAATATTACCTAAGCTCCTCTACCACAGGTTCAAGAAAATGATTTGAAAATATTGGGATCAGCGCAAAACTTGGTAATTGGCATCGGTACCTTTGGCTTTTTATTGTATTTGATGAACTCACAATTAAAGCATTTATATTTACCAAAGTTTTTTGCGGATATACTACCACACGGAAATTGGGGTCAAGATATTGAAGTGACAATAGTCGAATTACCTGATTATACCAAAGTAGGTGACTGGAGAAATACATTGACTTCAATTTTGCTGCTTCTGCTATATCAGACGCAGAACATAACGGATGGAAGCTCTTATTTCAATTCAAAACTAAAGACACTTGCAGACTTTTGGACTGTGCGCGTTGCCATAAAGTCAAATATTGCTCTCAAGAATGCCAAAAAACACACTGGAATATACACAAAAAAAATATGTAACAAATGTATTTGATCATAAGACCACCTCACTACCGATCTCCCCCCCCCAATGTAGTATAAGGATAGATCTACATATAAAAACCCAAATGTGATAGATATATATGTATACGCGAGCAAGTGTAGGTTCTATTGTATGTCACTTAGTTACGATTTTTACCTTAACCCTGGTAATCTCTATCTCTCTGGAAAATGTGTCAAAGTTCATAATGCTGTATAATCCAGAGTGCCAGAAATGCGACCGCGTTGAAGGTCAGGCCAAATAATAAACACCCCATCAAACTCTTCTTGATCCACAGTGTTGATCCATCCGCGCTCATAGACAAAGTTGCATACCTGAATGAAGTCAGCTGATTCACGTATTTTATCATCAGAATCATCAGAATCATCAGAATCAACCGAATCAAGCGAATCAAGCGAATCGGGACAATGCTTATTCATTCTAAATAACAGTGCTGCTGCCGGCAATTCATCATACAGATCGTATTTTTCTGTTGGTAATAGCTCATAATAACCAAACGGATATGATAGAAGAGCTTCAATCATATTTTTGCAACTAAGAATGGCATTCAAAGGTGTTTCAAATGTTTGACACATTGCGATAGACTTTTCCCAGGTAAATGAGTGGCGATTACTGATCACTTCTATGCATTTTTCAAACGACGGTTTTCTAGGCTTCGTCAGCCCATTTTTTTCCGCATGACATAGAGAACGATAGTAATTTTTATACGTATGCCTCCGCCTTAAAAAACAGACCACGCCACCCCGGACTCCAGGAGAAGCGGCGAGCTGGGATATGACCACCACAATTGCATTTACGGCAGTACAAGCTGGGATATGACCACCACAACCAGCAGTTTTGTAAATTTGGCTGGATGATGATACAATAGTAGTGGTCTAAACTCACTAATTCGCTACCGGAAATTGCATTTACGGCATGCACTTTGCGAGAAATCTCCTTAACGGAGCCTTGCAACTCCTACATTTGGCCAGCCATCTGACTCAGAGGCTCACGGTCTCAGGCTGCTGAATCTGCCGTAGGATATGATTTTCCGACTCAGGGTCACATCAAAGTCAGGAGTATACCGTCTCCATCGACGTGCAGCCGAAGCGCATTCGCGTGCCACAGGGCTGCCCGCCTAGAAGCCGGACAACACTAGCCTGAGTGCGCACGAGCCGGAGCAAATGCGGACTACCTACTGGGAACTAGGCCCCGCGATTCCCCCTCCCGAGAGAGTGGGAGGCACAAGTAATTACTCTCAGGAGGAAGATTCTCCTGTATCTGCCCCACTGTGCTTATTCTCCCTTTTCTCCCTACCTTGCAGTCTCATATCTTCATGAGACTGAGGTCCCCACTTTAGTATGGGGGTCCTTCCTCCTTTTCCCAATTTCCTTCCCTTTCTCTCTTTCTATTCCATTTTAAGACAGTATAGAGTAACCCTCTCCTGTTGGGAATCAGGGCTGCTCAGCAGCCCCATCTCACTTTTTCATTTTCAGTCTAAGTCAGGAACACTGCCATTTCCCCTCAAGGGTTATGGGCCCACAGCGTTAATCCTGACCCAAGACTCTTTACCTTCGTTACATGGTAGATTAGCTAATTACAGCGGAACTTCGGAAAATTCGCTTAACAGGCTAACACTTTAAGGATCTCTTCTCGTAACAGAAATATGGGGGATGCAGATCAAGGGGGTAGACGTAACCCCGCGCGTGCCGCAAGGGCTCCTCGACCGCAAGAACCCGAAGGTGGTGAACCCGAAGGAGATGAACCACCCCAAGACCAACCCGAGCCAACAGAAGAAGAGCTGGCTCAGCAAGAAGCAGCTCGTCAAGAAGCAACTCGTCGGGATGCAGAAGCTCTTGCAGCAGCTGAGCGAGAGGCAGAAAGACAAGAACATCAGGATGAAATTACCAGAATGCAAGCTGAAATCGATACTCTCAGACAGCAGTCACCAGAGGAACGCAGGAATACAGATGGCATAACTTTAATTGGCAATGCTGTGAGAACCATGACTAGTATCTTGCGTCAAAATACAAATATCAGCAAAAAGCAATTGGAATTCCAGGAACTTCTTAATGCCGATGCTACAGCAGACGCCATGCTGAAGCAGCAGCAACTAACTGACCCAACTATGGGCAACTCTAGCTGGTACACTGGTGTACTTAGTTCGGAACAATCCAGACATTTTTCCAAGGGTATCATCACCAGTAAGGAGTTTAGCTATTCTAAGGCTAATAATGAGTTTCAGAAGGCAAGCAAACCAAACGACATGCATTTTCCGAGAAGTTTGGAGGATCTACCGGATACAACAGAAGCCTGGAAAGCAAGCTTCAATGACTCATTACAGCAAATTGTGATGGAGTCACCAGACTATCATGCGTATGTTACCACTAGCTCAAAAGTTACCGATTATATCAACTCACGAATTGAAATTCGAATGAAAGAAATTCGCAATCATGATTCAACTAAGAACTTCGAATTTGATAAACTCCAAGACCTTCAGATTCCACCGGTAGAGGGTGCACACATGTTGTCTGCTGTACTTGTCAAAGATGTCGGTGAGTTCCCTCCGCGAGTTACTACACCAGGCTGGCAATTTGGTGTACTTGAACCTGTTTATTATAATGATGGATCAAGCGCTGATCAACGCACCTTATTGTGCATACCCAGCAATTTCTCATCCTTGAATCTTACTGATCATCCGCCTTTCATTCCCTTCAATGACTATACCCGCAGATATTACGACCATCTCCTTCACAAAGTCCAAGGTGATCGAGAATACTGTCCTAATCCTCGTAGGGTACCGGGGTCTCCACACTTCTGTGATAGAGATCACATGGACCTTGAAGAATTCAATGCGTTTGATAAGAAATTGTTTGACCTGTTCATGAGCTGGCTCAAGAAGTCGATGACAGCCATACAGCAGCCAGCTAAGATTTCCGAGATTGAGATTTTCGAAAAGAAGCTCCGGCGGACCAATAATTGCTGCCTGATTTATGCAGCTCTGCAATGGACCAATCTATATCTTTGCGGAAACTCAAATGTTGTTGCCATCAACATTCGAAATCATGTTAATCAAGTGAAACATCGAGCTATGAGGGACTGGCCTAATGCCGATCTATGCCATATACTGGCC